GGTATGTGAAATTGCGTAGGACTGCACTAAGTACCGGTAATATTAAAAACTCCCAAGTTTATTAAGATATTTTAAAATTGAATAACATAGCAATTGAGACATTTAATTGAATAACACAACAAAATAGTACACAACAACTGTAATAAAGGTTTTATTGAAAAAGATGAACTGTTCTCAGTTGGTTGGTGCTGGTTTAATTACAGTATCTGATGGTCAAAATAATGGTTTGATGTTTATATATTTTACCTTTCATATTGCAGGTTGAACTTATGAATGGTAAGATGGAATGTATGGAATTTTTTTTTAATAAGTCTCTTATGTTCACCAAGTCTGCATTTATTTGATCAAAATTACTTTCTATTGTAATATATTTTAAAATATAATTTATTCCTGTGATGTAAAGCTGAATTTTCAGCATAATTTCTCCAGTCTTCAGTGTCACATGATTCTAATATGCTGATTTGCTGCTCAAGAAACATTTCTGATTATTATATTGTTATATTAACGTTTCTTATGTCAATGTTCAACATGATTAAAAATGACCATAGTGACATAAAGTCAAATTTTCAATTATAAAGTCAAAGTATCAAAAATGAAACCAATAAACAAGAATGCATGAAGTCATAAATCTTGAAAGAATAATCAAGACAGTCAAGCTAATACAATGCAAACCTTTTTGTTAGCCTGTTTGTTTTGGAGGAAGACGCTGCATTTTATATGCTTTCCTTATAATGGCATGTTTCCTCATAAATAATTAGCAGAACATCAGGGAGGACTGCAGACGGCCCTACAGAGTGAGTTAAGATGTACTGTATATAGCTGTAGCTGTGTGGAGATGGAAGGGAATGAAGAAGGGAACATGAATATTTGGATCAAATCCAAACTTCAGTTAACTAGTCTCAGCTATCCAAATAAACAAAACTATATATAGTTTTAAATGGAGCATGATGTGACCAAGTTCAGTTAATCCACTGAAAATTAGCATGGTACCATTAGCTGTTTTTCAAAGAGAATCTGTTTCGGTTGAATTGAAACTTCATTATATCATTCTGTAAGCAGGTAAACATTATTTCTGGCCATCTCAGGAACTGCACTTCACTAGCTTGTGTCCTACAGCACCACACAACCACATGGTGCTTAGATCCATTTGTGATGTGTCCATTAACTATCACTCCATTTGTCATAATGGGAAGACAGACTGAGACCAAAGAGGGCATTATAATTATCCTGCATTCTGATTTTGAGGTAGAAAAGGAGGTAAAATGGCTCAATCAATGGACAAAATAAATAAATAAACAGTTCAAGACAGAAGAACCATTAAAGTATCATTAAAGTAGTCTATTCTAAATCATCTTCAGACTTAAAAATGTACTCGTTTTGGAGTCACTGATTGTATGTCATACATTAACTTTAAAATGATGTGCCACTTTGAATATGCAGAATAGAGAGTGACAGGAGAACATTTTCATTGAATATTATACATTTTGATGTGTTCCTCAAACAAACACGAGTACACTTTAGCATATTCAATTTTATTTTATTTTTACATATACTTACGTGCGAACTGAATGTAATGTTTTCAGACACTTAATTAGATTTTATTTAAAATTAAATGAAAAATGTATTACAGTATGTATTGATTTGACTTTTTTGACTTAAGACTTACGTACCTCTTTATATAAAATTTCATAATTCTTTTGTCTTTGAAATATGTTCAAAATGTACTTCTGAATGTACTTGACAAGCATTTATGGTAAACTAAAACATGGTTAAATATATGGTTAAATATATTTGTATAATCTATCTATCTATCTATCTATCTATCTATCCGTCTGTCCGTCCGTCCGTCCGTCCATCATCTATCTATCTATCTATCTATCTATCTATCTATCTATCTATCCATCCATCCATCTATCTATATATCCATCCACCCATCCATCTATCTATATATATACTATCTATCTATCTATCTATCCCATCATCTATCTATCTATC